GACTGAAATAAAAACTAGATAACAAAAAAAAAAAAAAGAACACAACATCAACAATCTTAAAAACCTGCTAGAAGGCTACTATGATTTGGAACAGACTCAAAGCAGTAGGTTTGGGTATTACAGATATGTCTGAGAGAAAGTACAGCCCTAATTTGGGGGGCATTTTGTTCGAGAGGCATTCCTTGGAAAGGGGCATCGTGCTTAGAAAAGTGACATTAAGGGAGCTCTGGTGGCCTAGTGGCAAGATGCTGCACTGCAATCCCAGAGGTACGTGGTTCAAATCCAACAGATGCTCTGCTGGAGAAGGAGGGGGCAATCTCCTCCTGTACCAGTCAGATCTGATTTGACGGTACATGTAAAAATAATACAATTTTTTAAAAATTTAAAAAAAGTAAAGAAAAGTGACATTAAGCAAAGGGAGGGCCACCCTCAATGAGATGAACTGACAGTGACTGCAGCAATGGGCCCACGTATGTCAAAAATGAGGAGGATGTCACAGGATAGGACAAGGTTCAGATCTGTTGTTCATATGGTCTCGAGTCAGGCCCGACCCTAAGAACAACATGACCTGAACAAACTCCAAGCAATAGGTTAGCATGATTTTGGTTAACATAAGGTTGAAACCAAAGCCAATTCCATTTCACTAACATTCTGACCCTACCAAATATATCTGTGTATTCCAGGAATTGTAAATAAGCTTATTAGCATTTACCCCTGCGTGTGTGTGTGTGTGTGTGTGTGTGTGTGTGTGTGTGTGTGTGTACCATCAAATCAGATCTGACTGGTACAGGAGATTGCTCCTCCTTCTCCAGCAGAGGATTTTGTGGATTTGAACCACACACCTCTGTGATTACAGTGCAACTTCTTGCCACTGGGCCACCAGAGCTCACCCTAGACCTGGTTTTATGACCCACCATAGAGTAGACAGTTAAAACAGGGACTGCTGAATGGCTCACTCTTGTCTTGGCCATTGAGTTGTCTGTGACTCATAATGACCTATGTAAAATAGCTCTGAACCCTGCCCTGTCCTGAACCAGTCTCACTATCTCTGACACACCTACCTTCATTATCTCAGTTACTGTGTCAAATCTATCTCATCCTGAGTCTTCCTCTTCTTTCCCATTCCTTTACCCTTCCAAGTATGATGTCCTTCTCCAAGGACTGGTCATTCCTGGCAACATACCCAAAGTATGTGAGACAGAGCTTCAAAATCTTTGCCTCCCAAGAAGCAACTTGGTTTCACCCTCTTCAGGACAAACTTGTTCATTCTCTTGGCAGTCCATGGTATGTTCAATATTCCCCTCCAATATCACAACTCGGAGGCATCAATCCTGTCACCCTTACTTATTGTCTTGCTCTCTGACTCAGAGCAAGTAATTGCAAAGACCATGGCCTAGATCAGGCGCACCTTAGTCTCTAGACTGATGTTGTTTTCCTTCAGCTTTCTGGAGAGGTGTTGCTGTTAGGTGCCATCAAGTCAAGTATAACCCACAGCGACTTTATGAACAACAGATCTGAACACTGTCCTATCATGTGTCAACTTCACAATCTTTGATACACTTGAGCCCATTTCTGCAGTGACTGGGTCAGTCCACCTGGTTAAAGGTCTGTCTCTCCACTGTCCTTCAACCCTTAACCTTTCAAAGCACAATGTCCTTCTCCAAGGAACAGCCTTTCCTACCAACAAACCCAAAAGATGCCAGACGAAGCTTTGGCATTTTTGCTTCCAAGAAGAAATCTTGGCTTCACCCTTCTCTAAGACATCTGATTCTTTTTGGCAGTATATAGGATCTTCAGCATTCTCTTTCAGCACCACAGCTCAAAGGCATCAATCTTTCTTCTGCCATCTTTATTCACTGTCCAGCTTTCAGATGCATAGTAAGTGAAAAGACCATACTCTGAATAAATTGCACCTTAGTCCTCAAACCGACATCATTTCTCCTCAGTAATTTGGAGAGAGGTCCTTGAGTGCACATTTTCCCAATGCAATTTATCTTCTGATCTCCTAACTTGCCAGTACCAAGAGTATTGACTGTGGATCCAAGTAGGAAGTATTAGACTGTTTCAATCTTTTGTCCATCTATCATGATATTGCCTATAGTTCTAGTGGTGAGAATTTTTATTTTCTTGACGTTGAGATGCAATTCCTATTGAAGGCTGCAGTGTTTGACCTTCTGCAGCAAGTGTTTCACATCTTCCTCATTCTCATTTCTCTATTACAGAAGTTGAACTCTGTGAGGAAGAATGTGGCATCAGGATTGGAGGCAGACTCATCAGTAACCTTCTGTATGCAGATGACCCAACCCTGCTTGCTTAATATTGTAGAGGAGGTACATTCAAGTATTCCTTGACTCAGTAACTGGGGTAATGTGGGTAGATGTGTCAGAGACGATCAAATTGGCTCAGGATAGAGCAGGGTTCAGAGATCTTGTACACATAGGGTCAGGATGAGTCAGAGTCGACTCAATGGAACACAGCAGCAACAATATCACCAAAAGATTAACAAAAGGTTCCCTTTGTCAGTAAAACGCAGCAACAATATTCACCATCGCAAGAACATGGAAACAACCCAGGTGTCAAACCACAAATGAATGGATTGACAAATTATGGTACATTCACACAATAGAATACTACGCAGCACACAGGAGCAATGATTTTGTTAATTATTACCTAACCTGGGAGGGACTGGAGAGCATTATGCTGAGTGAACTCAGTTCCACAAGGACAAATATTGTATAAAACCATTATTGTAGAATGAGTATAAGGATCCAAGGGGTTGGGGGGAGTTGGAAGCAGATAGATGAGGATGTTCAGGGACAAGGGGGATTAATTATGGGGTTGTGCCATTTGATGGGTCAGGGGGGGTGAGTGAAATTGGAAGAATCTGTTCTGGAAAACAAAGTATTCAAATTTGTAAATAAACCAGTATAATAATAAAACAAAAAACCCCCCACAGCAACAAGGAGGGAAAGAAGGAAGGTGACATTGCAGAAACGTCCTGCCCAGGCCCCGCCCCACGTCTGTAGGGCCCAAGAGACTAGGGTTGGATGAATGGTGGAAGTTTTATATTAAAAAGAGCGAGAGGGCGGGGAGGAGAACCACCTACAGTATTTGCTTAAACAGCTGTAGCTCCTGAAGAAGATATCCCACCTCTGTGTCGCCGCCCTACCTGTGGGAGTGCGCTTGCGCACTGGGGACACCACCCTTGCGATCACCTGTCGGGGCGCCTGCGCAGTGCGCGCCTCCCGGCCAGTGGCGTCACGTGTTCGGCCGCGCACCCTCCCGGGCGGGCGGGAGCTTCCTACCGCCGCTGCCGCCCGGGGCCGGGGGAGCCCAGGGCGGTGCCGGGCCGGAGGAGGCCCGCCGTGGTTCCGGATCTACCGCGAGGTATGCTACGTACCCGCCTCCCCGGAAAAGAGTTCAGGAGACGGCGGGAGAGATGGAGGCGGCCGGGGCTAGGGCGGCGGGCCGGATTCCGGGGCGTGCGGGCCCCGGCTTCTCCCCACCTGCGGACGCCGCTGCCCAACTCTCCGGAGCCCGAGCTGGGGTCCGGCGCCAGGACCCGCCGAGCCGCTCCCTGCCGCACAGCCTCAGGCTTGGCGTGGCCTGAATTCATCCTTTCCCAGCTCCGGCCACTCCCGAGTCCCAGCTCAATTGATAGCCTCTCCTTTCACCCCAGTCACCGAAATCTAACATCTGGAGTCAAGCTGGGCGCCCCCTCCTGAATACCCACATCTACAACACGCTCCGAGCCCTGCTGATTGATTCCTAACTCTGCAATCTCACTGCACTGCATCCCCACCGCCAGTGCCACCCCCACGCTCATTATCTCGCCTGTGTCGCCTAGACTGTTGCAAAGTGCTCAGTCCGGCGGCGGCTCCCTGCCTTCCGACCCCCTCCTGTCCAGTGCACCTTCCCCTGTGCAGGTAGAGGGATATTTCTAGCGGGCGGCTCCCGCTTCCGACCCCAATTCGTTCAGAGTGATGTCCAGATTCCTTTACGTTTATTCACTATTTTTAAATTTTGTTTTGCTCCTGCTCACATTTTCAGCTTAGTTTGAACCATTTCTTGTTTCATTTTATGTCCTGGGGACACCAAACTGGACGTCTATTTCTTTGGCATGTCGGGTGGTCTTCAAACCATATACCCTTTTCCAGGATGTATTCTCCTTGGAGTCTCCTGTCCTTTCCTTGCCCCTCAGTTTTATCATAGCTGAATACAGTCATCCCTTCTCCAGGAAGCCTCCAGGCTGCTTCAGACACATCATGTAACTCTGAACAGCCAAGGAGCAGTGTGTGTGTGGGCGGGTTGTATTTGTTCCTGAACCTGTCTCCTAGGGTCTGAGTGTGAATCAAGCTAATTTCTCTATTCCTGTGCCCAGCCCAGGCCCTGTGAAGGCTGGTGAGTCAGCTCTCTAGAGCTGTGCCATCAACTGTACTTATGGAGTTATTCTTGTGTGCTATGCTACCCAGTACCGGAGACACAGAATGACATTTGGAGCAATGGCTGGGGTGACTGAGAAACTGAGAATGATTTTTATTCGATCTTGATTGAAATTAAAATCTGAAAACTCCATACAGCAACTCCCATGTTGGAAAGTGCTGCTCTACAGCCTTTTTGAATCCTCTCCAGCCTCCTGCCCACCCTGTACTTAGACTACTTCTGAGTCTGCTTCCTAGGCTACTCCCTTACCCGACTTCTTTGAGTCTAATTCAGTTTCCTCAGTTAAAAAAAACTTACATCATGCGTTCACAGCCTTCCTGACCCTCTAAAACCCATTACCAGGTTATCCGCCTTGCTTTCCGTCTCCGCATATTCCATCAGTACTATAATACCACCATTGGTATTCTTTCTCGTAAACATTGTCTTCTTTCTCCCTGAGTTGGGAGGTTTACTAGTCATGCCTTCCTACAGTTAGTGCTGCTGGATGTGGGGCTGGAAGGCTGCTCCAACCTGAGTCTGTTTTCTACTCCCATCAGATAAACACCTGCACTGCCAAGATGCCAGGCCCAAGACCTCGGAAAGGTCAGGCCAGTGGTCAGGGCGTGGCAGCTGCCAAGCAGGTATGGATCTAGTTCCCTTCAGCTCTTTGCCATTCATGGGGTGGGTTCTCTAAACAGAGATTGGGCAAACTGGGTCACTGGTGGGATTTCCCTCTTTATCCGGAGGCTTTGAGTAGTGTCCTCTGGAGTTAGAACCCTTACAGGTCCTCTAAGTCCTGCCTTACATAGGTTGGAGATGAGACCTGAACTTGTAGTGAGGGATGACACACCATTTCAGGTGTCTTTCTGAACTGACCAGCTCCAGTCAAGTGAATGGTTCAGGAGCCACTGAAATCAGACTATTTTCAGGGGCCTCATTTTTTTTAGGGTTCCTTATTTAGGGCCACAATTTTGCATGCCACCAAGGATGCTAGGATCTGGAGAGCTGCAGCCAGAGATAGGCTGATGTGGGAAATTTCAGCCATTCTACCCTCTAGTTTCCTCTTATTTCTCTTTAGTCCAAGTCTTTTTTTTTTTTTTTTTTTTTTGGTGGGGGAGGGCTTAAAAGGAGTAGGTAAAGGAGATGGAGGAGTAAAGGACTTGCCCTCAAGTCACAAAGACCTTATTTTAAATTCTGACCGTGCCACTTAACTGGCTGTCTTGGTGTCATCTGAACATGGAGATAAAAATAGGCCCTGCTACTCAGAGTTGTGAGAATTAACTAAGATAATCACATTAAGTGCTGAGCAAATGCCTGGCAGCCATTTATTAATAATGGCACTGTGGTCTGCAGGGTTATTTTGGGGGTCATCAGAAGGTAGGTACCCCAGGAGTCATGACTCAGGCCTCAGTTTCCCCTTTTGTGTAACCGGCCTTACAGTAAGAGAGGCCTGACTCCTCCACCATCAGGAGCTCAGAATTGGGTTCTGGGCCAGGTCCATACCTCTGCCTCATTGTGTGGTTTCTGAGACCCATCCCCTCTGCCCTCAGCTGGGCCTCTTTGTGGAGTTCAGCCCTGAGGACATGATGCTGGGAATGGAAGAGGCAGAAGATGACGAGGACCTGGAGGCTGAGCTGCTGGCCCTCACTGGAGAGGCCCGGACCCCGGGCAGGAAGCCAGAACCCAAGGGCCAGGGTGAGTTTGCATCTCTAGGTTAGGCTGGATGCTGGGACCATGTGTGCAGCCTAGTTGTGCTGGAGCTGGCTGGCCACTTCTGTGCCCCTGGCTGCTTGGCAGGACTTCCGCCTGGGACTCCTGACTGTGCTCACGCGCTCCCTCCCTGGGCTGCCCCTCCCCACTGTGGGTAAATCTGATTCTCGGGAAGATTAACTGCTGCCTCCCTGCTCAGCCCCAGCAGCCAAGAGTTAGAAGAGCTCCCTTAGCAAGGGCTTAACCCAGCACATCATGAATGCATAGAAACTGTTGAGTAAGGGGATACGTGGAGTCTCCCTTCTTGGTCCAGAAGGGAGCTAGGACCAGATGCCTGTAGATGTTGGGGGATCCAGATATTCCTCATCAAAGCTACTACCCTCATTCACTGTGCTCTGAGCTGAGGACAGTGGGAGGCCACTGAGCCTCACCTCTCTCAGTCCACGGCGTCAGGTGCACCTGGGTTCAGATCCTGCTTCTGCCATGTACAAGGATTGTGATGTTAGAATTAACACTGCAGGTTTCTGTTAACACATATAAAATGGGGAGACAATAAGAGTTATTCAAGTTCAAAGGAATTTTGAAAGTCTTTAGAGGTAGAAATGGACTTGTTAGGTGGAATGAGCGGATGTGTATGAGAGCAATACTGAAATACAAAAAGGGAGCAGCTGAGGAAGGCTTCCCTGAAGAGAGTCTTTTGAGTTGGATCATAAGGGATGAGCCATTTTCCAAATTGAACTTTGGTGGGAGTGAAAGGCTTTCTTTTGGGTGTGTTTCTGCTCAGTCTGGTGAATGGAGTAGCCCTGACCCACCGTGACCCTTTCCCCTCAGCCCCTCTGCCCATGGCCCACATCGAGAAATTGGCAGCAGACTGTATGCGGGAGGAGGAGGAGGAGGAGGAGGAAGAAGGGCTTGAGGATGATGCAGACCTGCTGGTACGTCTTGCCAGGCTGGTGTTGGAGGGCTCCTGTGGGCAAGTGTGAGCCTGGTGGAGGAGTGGGATGTGGAGCTGGGGTTTGTGCCTCGATGTTCTCGATTGGAAGTAACCCCTTACCGTTCCCGGGCCTCACTGTTTGCTAACTGAACAGTGTGAGATGGTCTCCTTTGACCTCTGGTCCAACCTCTGCAGTGCCCTCATCTCAGATTTAGAGTTGTCACTGTTTGCAAAGCTGGCTCTGGTCAGATTCTAGGAGTGTTTGGTAAAGTGGCTTTTCAGGCACTGTGACTGACGTTGGCAAGTACTGCGGGGGAAGATGGCCCTTCACTCTCATGTCTTCATGTCCTGTCATGGACGTGGCCACAAGGCCCCATGGTCCTGGCATATGTTGTGTCTCCCAGAGTGAGCTGCAGGAGGTCTTGGGTTCGGAGAAGGAGGAGCAAGAGGAAGAAGAGGTGGTAGCAGCAGAAGCTGAGGAGGTGGGGAACCCTGAAGAGGAAAAGGGGCCAGAAAACCTCGAGCAACCAGTGCAAGCAGCCCTTCTAACAGCTTCAACCCCAGCAGCTCAGGTAGGCTCTGGGGGTTTCTATTCCCCTCCTTGTCCACGTGGAGCATGCACAGAACCTGGCTTGCATTTCTAGGCCTCTTCTGGGTTCTCTTCCAACAGCTGGCCCAAGCAGAAACCCAGAACAAGAAAAACGCCTTGATGGCTGGCTGGCCTCAAAGGCCTCTCTGTTCTCCCAGACCACCCCCTCAGCCATTTTCTGCCTCCAATTGTCTGGGCCTCTGTGTTTGCCTCTGGAAAGGCCTCTGGCCTCTTCAGTCTCTGCCTCCCACCTTGAGGCTTTTTTTGGGGCCTTTCCTTTTCCTTGAGCCCTAGAGTTCCATCTTCTGGGGCAGTGTCGTGGCAGGAAGGGAGCAGTAGGGAGCTGAGGCCTCACTGGCCTTGGCAGGTTCAGGCCCTGAACTGAAGTGTCTGCAGGCTGGAAGGCCTGAGGAACTGCACGCCTTGCTGGAGGAGCGCATTCACAACTACCGGGCGGCAGCGGCCAGCGCCAAGGAGGCAGGGGAAGCGGCCAAGGCCAGGCGCTGTGAGCGTGGCTTGAAGGTGGGTGAGCACAGCCGGGGCGCAGGCTCAGTGGGTGGGGCTCAGCCGGGAAGTTGGGCCAGTGGAGCGGAGACTTGCTTCCCCTGTGGAGGGGTGGATGATTGGCTGCTGCCTGGTTACCAGACTTGTTCCTCTTCCTCAGACTCTGGAATCCCAGCTGGCAGCTGTGAGGAAAGGTAGGAAGATCAATGAAGAAGAGATCCCACCTCCTGTTGCCTTGGGCAGGAGGCCTCCCGCCTCTCAGGAAGCAGCCAGCAGGACCCCCGAGGCAGGGACCGCAGGGCTCCCAGCGCCGCTGGCCGTGGAGCCAGGTATCCTTGTGTGACAACACCCTGCCTGACTTGGTTTCCCGCCAACCTTCACTCCTTTCACCCTTTGGTTCCTTATCACCCTCTCTGGGCACTTCCTTGACCTTTAGGCCCTCTCTCTGGGCTTTCCATTTTTCCACAGATGTCCCGTCACAGCTGGAGACAAGCCCTCTGGGCAGTCCTGACATCTCTGCCTCAGTGGACTCAGACTCAGACCCGAGGACGCTGCTGTCAACCCGACAGAGAGAATACAAGGTGGCCGCACTCAGTGCCAAGCGCGCTGGAGATCTGGACCGAGCCCGAGAGCTCATGAGGATTGGGAAGGTATGGTGTCTGGCTCTGAGGCCCTGTGTCCCACCCGCCCTACATGGGTGGGTAGCTGAGGCCCAGCAAAGAGCAGTGTCCTACCTGCTTGACTTCACACAGCTAGACTGGACTTGAATAAGATGGGCCTGCAGGGGTAGTTCTTGGGATCCCTGCTTACCCTTATTCCTGCTTTTCTTACTACTAGAGGTTTGGTGCCGTTCTGGAGGCCTTGGATCGGGGACAGCCTGTGGACCTGAGTGCCATGCCCCCAGCACCTGAGGGTCAGTGTGGGGATAGTGGGGCACAGGCCTGACTGGGGCTGGAGCTAGAAAGGAGTATGAGGGACTGGCCTGATGGATTTCTGCTCTGCACCCCTCAGACCTGAAACCACAGGCTTCCAAGGCCCTCACAGCACCCTCAGTCAGCCCAGCAGTGGAGCGAGTGCAGCCCGTGATGGCCCCTGACGCCCCAGCCACCCCAGGTAGGGCAGCATGCAGGGACCACTGGGTGGGGGCTGGGAAGGACGAGCAGAGCTGACCCTCTCCCTGTTTCACTGAAGTGGTTCCTGCAGAGCCCCAGACAGTGCTGGATGCCCTGCAGCAGAGGCTGAACAGGTACCGCGAGGCAGGTGTGCAGGCCCGGGGCAGCGGGGACGAGCGCAAGGCCCGGATGCACGAGCGGATTGCCAAGGTGGGCAGCAGCTGTGGGGCCCTGTGCTGTGCTGGGCTTCCTCAGCAATGCCTGGCCCAAGTCTGTCTGTGTGTCTCTGAATGCTTGTTACCTTGGGGGCCTTTTCTCTTAAAAGAGTTGTATTTCCATCAGTTGTCTTCCTCTTGCTTCTGGGTCAGAGACGCCTGGAGCCTGCTGACTGACTCACTCAGCACCCCTTTCCTCTGCAGCAATATCAGGATGCCATCCGCGCACACCGAGCGGGGCGGAAAGTGGACTTTGCCGAGCTCCCTGTCCCCCCAGGTGAGTGGGGCTTGGCCTCGGGGCTATGTGAGGGGGGCTTTGAGCAAGTCAGGTGGGAGGGGTAGTGTCTGTCCAGGATCTTTCTCCACCTTGTGGAAGCCATGGCTCTCAACACCATCTCTCCCACAGGATTCCCCCCAATCCCGGGCCTGGAGCCCACAGTGGGCACCGTGGAGGATGCAGTGGCAACCACTCTAGCAGCTGCCCAGAAACTGGTCGCGTCAGAGGATTCAGCCCCAGCAGAGGAAGACAGGGAGAATGAGGTTTGGCTGAGACCCCAAGACGAAGGGTTTGGTGGAGAAAACAAATAGCAAATGAAAAAAATCCAGACTCTATGCTCAACACTGTCCATAATATTTACCCTTAAAGTTCTGTCAAGTCAGAACTGAGTCATAACTGAGCCTCCACTGGGTTTGTGAGGCTATAAATTGTATTGAGAGTTTCTCTTTGTCCCATGGAGGACTTTTGAGTTAACAGCACGACTCCATATAGTGCAGAGCTCCCTGTGCATAGCCCAGAACGCAGTGAAGTAGATACTGAGAAAAATCTTAGCCATTGGTACCCACTTAGGAGTTAGCAGAGAAGGATCCTTCACACCCCAGGTCCCAGGTTTGATGCCAGTTAAGCTGCTGCCCCTTTTGGAGGCGTTCAGACAAGAGTACTTTATCGCTGAGATTTTCTTGGCCAGGAGGAGGAGGGCACTCCTCTCAAGTCACGAAGTGACTTAGTGCAGTGTTCGGAGCTGCCGGCAGGGGTGGGGACTCGATCTTCCCGTGACAGTGTTCTGGGACCCGCAGGATGAGCCCCCAGCCCAGGCCCCAGTGGCAAAGAAGCCAGCACAGCCTCTTGCCCCCTCACCCGGACCACTGCCTGAGGCCAAGGGCTCGAGTTCCAAGGAGTCATTGAGTCCATCTGGTGAGTTGAGGGGAAGAGGGGTGGAAGAGGGAGGGTCTAGGAGGGACAGACTTGTCCCCAACCAGTGTCCCTCCCCTTTAGTGCGGGAACAGCTCACACTGCTGGAGGCACGGAAGCTCCAGTACCAGCGTGCGGCACTGCAGGCCAAGCGCAGCAAGGACCTGGAGCAGGCCAAGGCTCACCTGCGGGTGGCCAAAGGCCTCGAGGCCCAGATCATGCAGGTCCGGGCTGGCCGCCCTGTCAGCCTCTCCAAGGTGAGTCCCGGCTGGGTAGGCACTTTCTCAGGCAGAGGACTAAAGGAGTGGTGTTTAGAGGTAGGATTTGGACAGACTGTGGTGGCAGCATGGGAGGGTCTGCCCAGGGCCCCACAAGGAGCTCAGGAAGGGCAGGTGGGTGGTCTCTTCCAGCAGCCTGAGATAGAATGAGACGGTGAGCTCGTGTTACTGAATATAGAGGTTTAAAAACCAATTACTTGGTATTCCTGCCTTTGTTGGGCTCAGCAGTGGAATAATCTGACTCTTGGGGCCCCTGAGGGGCCTTGTGACCTGGGCAGGTGCCTTCACCCTTGACAGATGAGGAGGGTGACTTCATCCTCATCCACCATGAAGACCTGCGGCTCTCTCAGAAGGCCGAGGAGGTGTATGCCCAGCTGCAGAAAATGCTCCTGGAGCAGCATGAGGTCAGTGGGCTGCTTGTCTGTTTCCCGCTTTCAGGACCCAGAGCCAGACTTGAAGAAAAACGCTCAGATGAGAAAGTTTCTGATTCCAGCTTTTCAGCTGATTAGTAACCTTGAGTAAGGCACTTAACCCTTCTGAACCACATTTTCCTCATCTGCAAAATGAGGGTAGCTCCAGAGCTTATACAGCAGAGTATGGTGAAAAAGCACTTTGCAAATGGGGGCAGGATGTGGTAGAGGAGAGAGATGCATATGGCAAACAAAAAACCCAAGTGATTTCCCACGCATAGGATCTTTTGGACCAAGTAGAACTGCCTCAGGACTTCTAAGGGTGTATCTTTATAGAAGGGCGTTCTTGTGGCCTAGTGGTAAGGAGCTGCACCTGAAGGTGTGCGGTTTGAATCCACCAGCTGCTCCATGGGAGCTCCTTCCATGAGATTTACTGCCTCTGAAAACCCGCTGAAGGGTCAGCTGTGGGTCAGTTTCGATTCGATGGTACACATAACAATCTCGTTAGAAGCAAACTGACATTTTTCTCTTTCAGTGTGGCCTTAACTAGCAGCTCAACTAACCAGCAGTCTGCCTCTGTGTATATAGTCATGTGTAGACATAAACGTTGGTAGGGGTATGTGTGTGCACGCATGTGAATGAACTGCTGCTTAGTCGTCTGAGGTGATTGGATTGTGTTTTGAAGGGTGAATAGACGTTTCTTAAGTAAACTTTTAGGAAAGACTGTCTGAAGAGAAAACAGCAAAACTTAAGCCGCACAGTATGATAGGACTTGAGAGCATTTAGGAGAGGAGAGGAGGACGCTTCAGAGGAAGGTTAGAGCTTTAAGAAGTTGCAGCCTAGGTGGGTCCTCTTTTGGCTCTTCCATCTCATTGGGCCTCTGTTTCAGAAGTGCCTGCTGTTCTCCAGGCAGTTCATGCACCAGGGCAACGTAGCTGAGACCACTCGGTGAGCGCGGGGCTGGGGCTTGGCAGGGTGGCCTGGGGATGGAGGGGCAGAGAGCACGCCCTGCCATGCTAATGTGCACACCTTCCTCACCAGGTTTGAAAAGCTTGCTCAGGACCGCAAAAAGCAGCTCGAGATCTTGCAGCTGGCCCAGGCCCAGGGCCTGGACCCTCCCAGCCATCACTTTGAGCTGAAGACATTCCAGACTGTAAGGTACAGGAGCCTAGGGGGACCTGCAGGGATGGGTGGGAGGCTGAGAGCCAGCACTGGAGGCCTCTGCCCTTTGGTGTAGCTTTCCAGCATTGGTCCTTAGGCACTGGGGGTGGGGAGGAGTGGCCTATGGGAGCTGCCTATGAGCTGCTCAGAGCTGGTGCCGTTCTGTGGAAAGATGTGTGGACCAAGAGTCAAGTTGGGGTTTGAGTGTCATCACTGCTTCCAGCTGAGACAGGCATTCCCTCTCTGGAACTCCTCCTGGCTACCAGAAGACACTGAAACAAGGGTTTTGTCCACCACCCTCCTTCACACTGGCTTTCCCTCCTTTCCTCCTGACTGTAGGATCTTCTCTGAACTCAACAGCACAGAAATGCATCTGATTATTGTCCGGGGGATGAACCTCCCAGCCCCTCCAGGTACCTCCGGGGACCTTTGCTGGACACTCCATTCCTGACCATAGGGAGCTGGCTTTCTGGCCACTCCTGTGACTGCATTTCTCCCCACAGGGGTGACCCCTGATGATTTGGATGCTTTTGTGCGGTTTGAGTTCCACTACCCGAATTCGGTGAGCTGCTTCTATTCCAGGACTCTGCTCCATTTCTCCCCAGCCCTGGCAGGCCTGATGTCAGGAGGGGTTGGAAGACCCCTTATGTCCATTCCTTTCATACTGATGTAGCCCAGGGTCCCTAGCCCTGCATGCCTCCTCTTCCCTCAGCTGTCCTGAATTCTTTTTCACTGCTTTTAGGACCAGGCTCAAAAAAGCAAAACAGCTGTGGTGAAGAACACAAACTCTCCCGGTGAGGATTTCTATGAAGACCTCATCCTCTTCTCTGATGCATGTGCAGCGCTTGTGTTTCTAGGGCCTGCATAACTATTTCCTCACTTGTTCCTTGAAACTTGAGTGATAAGGCCAGTTACTGTCGCCAGGCCTCTTCGTTGGGGAAACTGAACCCCAGAGAGGTAGAGACTTGTTTTGGGCTGCACCAAGAAGATGGTAGAAATGGGACTTGAATCCAGGAAACCTGACCTTAAGCCCTGCTCCCTTCTTTGTTAAAATCTATATCCATGGTTGTTGGTTCGTCAGGTCTGTTCTCAGGTTAACCAGTCCCATGTGTGCAGTGTGGAACTGCCCTATCCCCACAGGTGATCAGGGCTGGACCATTTCAGAACAGATCATCAGGCCCATCTTCCAAGTGGATTCAAATTTCTAATCTTTAGGCTGGTAGTTAAGTACTTAACCGGGTAAAATGTACATATGAAGACTCAGAAAGTTTTCCTTTAAACTCTGTATTACCCTTTGGTGGCAATCTCTGAAATGCAGGCAGCGAGCTCTAGAAGGCAGGCCAGCCCTGGGAGTCAATGTTTGACATCCTCAGGAAGATTCTGGTAGTCTAACCCCTCACCTCTCCTCTGGCAGAATTTGATCAGCTCTTCAAACTAAACATCAACCGGAACCACCGGGGCTTCAGGAGGGTCATCCAAAGCAAAGGGATCAAGTTTGAGATCTTCCACAAGGGGTGAGGCTCCTCACAGTCAGGACGGGGGAGGGGGTGCTGCTCCTCACTCTCTGCACTGGGGTCGGCCAGTTCGTCCCTGCCCCTCTGCCCAGACTAAGATTGCTGTCTCGGTGTCCTTCTCCCAGGTCCTTCTTCAGAAGCGACAAGCTGGTTGGCACTTCCCACCTGAAGCTGGAACGGCTAGAGAATGAGTGTGAGATCAGAGAAATTGTGGAGGTACGCCCAGGCATTGGGGATACAAGAGAACTTGGAAGAAAACACCATTGCTTATGGATACTAAGAGGGAGCTCTGGTGGCTTAGTGGGAAGAAGCTGTGTTCTCAACCCAAAGACATGCAGTTCGAATCCACCAGCTAATCTGTGGGAGAAAGATGAGCATTCTCCTCCTGTGTGGTTTACAGCCTCTGAAAAGCTCCTGGAGGGTCAGCTGTTAAGTTAAAACAACAACAGTCCATATTGTAGGGAGCTCCTGGGGCTTCATGGGTAAGGAGTTTCACTCCCAACCTAAAGGTAAAGTGGTTTGCGTCCACCAGGTTCTCAGGAGAAAGAGGGGCAATCGTCTCCTGTGTGATTTACAACCACTGAAGCCTGCTGTAGGGTCAGCTATGGAGTTGGTTTCAACTCCATCGCAATTAGAGACACAGAATCCCTATTGTAGAGGGATTTTTGTGCCCAATATTTAATTTTAAAATATTTTGCTGTTGTTAAGTGCTGTCGAGTTGAAGACGACTCATAGTGACTGACCCTATGAATGAAAGACTTGAACACTTGTATAACTTTAATCGTTTCTCCAAGTTCATAGAGTTTCTGGAGGCAAGCTATTGCAGAAGTGGATGCCACTCCTGCTTCTAAGCTTGTTTTAATCAGGAAGCTCCGCCAAACACGCCATGGGTAACCATGATCACATTTGACACATCAGTGTCACAGTGTTCAGCATCACAGCAACCACGAGTTACCTCTGTAGTGCAAATGGACACAGACCAGTGCTATACCACTTAGAAGAATGTTTGACCAAAAACAAAACCAGGTCTGACAATATTATGAAAACATTTGTAAATTTGTATTTAAGTATGGTAGGTAGTAGCGCATTTCACAAATGAAGAGATGCTAGACGTACCTCAAGTTCCAAAGAGGGTTCTGATTACTGCAGTCAGCTTCGCACATGCAGATGCCTACGTGTCTGGAGGCTGGTTATGATTGAGGCAACCGTCTGGCCACAAGTGAGGTGGAACAAGCTCCCGATATAAAAGTTGATAGGGCATTTCTGGAGCTGCACCAGAACCCGCCTCCAGGTGGCAGTTTCTGTGTGCATATGAGGAGACGAGGGCCGAGACCTTTGCTGATCTTTCTCAGATTGAGGTTTTCCCACCAGAGAACAGCTGCATCCCAGCCTGTTTGGAGGCCTTGTTCCCTAGCACGGCCTGATGTGTGTTGGCCCCTGAGAGGATTCGCAGGCTTCTCAGGCCTGGTGGCACCTCTTAGCCCCTCTCCTGATGATGAGGAAGTTGGCATCGTGCGTTTGCAGGAACCTTAGCCTGAATCCTTTGCTGTCTTCTAAGTGTGAAGCCACTTTCTGTACCATCTTGGGAGTGAAGGTTGGGCTAAGTGGTTTTCAGGCTCCGTGGAGCCTCCGCTGTGGGATGCCTTAGCTCTTACTCCTTTCCTCTGAGGGCACTGAAGCTCCCTGTTGCTATATTTTCCCTCTCTATGATCCTCATAGGTGCTGGATGGACGCAAGCCCACCGGCGGGAAGCTGGAGGTGAAGGTGCGGCTGCGGGAGCCTCTGAGTGGCCAGGACGTGCAGACGGTCACTGAGAACTGGCTGGTCCTGGAGCCCAGGGGCCTGTGAGGTGGGCACCTCCCTGGACTTTCAGAACCTTATCTCGCCTGTCCTCCCCTAAGGCCCCCCACGGCCCTTTCCTTTACTGTCTGGGGAGAAAGCCTAGGTATTTCTCATGTTCCTCAATAGAACTGGGGAGGGAAGGTCACCTTCCAAAGTTTATCTTCAGAAAACCCTTTGTAAACTCTGTTTGCTGCAGTGTAGACCGCCTGTGTCCCCCTGCGGCAGATGGTCAGTGGCGGGAGAAGAGTGAGGCCAGCCACGCACAGAAGCTTACTTTTCCCAGCTTTGCTGAGAGAATTTGTATATAGGGGAGGTGCTGCTCCTCTAAGTACCAAAGACTCATTTAATACGTGCACTACTGACCACAGCCCTGGTCCTGCCTGTTCCCCCCACTCCTGCCTTCCCACCACCACCTACCCTCCACTGTGGGTGCAGGCAGGGCTGCTGGCCACAGAGTCGTCCTGCAACCTCCCCTCCTCAGCCCTGCATCGCAACTGTGTCCAGCTTATGCCAGCCCCCAACTGCGCCATTTCTAGGTGTGCCTTTAAAAAATATAACAGTAAGGGATAGAACTCAGAGGTGATCTGGGACCTCATCCCTTTTCAGGGTGGGGTGGGAGCAAGGTCCAGTGATGGCCTATTCCACGTGACTCAGTTTACCCAGCTCTGCCTGTGCCATGTGCCTTTGTTCCTGACAGCTGCTGCACCAGCCACACTTCCCAGAGGGGACTAGAGGAGGACAGTATTTTCGGTACTTCTACATGGGAGTAAAGGGCAGGTTTACTTAGATTGGGTCTATGTACCTAAGACTTAACTGGAGAAAAAAAAATACATATATATGTATGTATGTAAAATTTTATGTTGCCACCTTTATTTAAGAAACTAAGTGTGGGGGTTTACTCTCGGTCCACACACACCGACTGATCTTCAAAGTGCTAAAAATAAAGCCTTGTTTCCTGTTACTGTTTTGGATGGTGACAGATAAATCACACAAAAATTTGCTGTTTCAACCAGTCTTTCCCATCACGTTAAAAAAACGTAAAGTGATACTTGGTATTAACAGAAACTGCTGCTGGATACTTACCCCTCAAGGAGATCCCTTGATTTTTTTTCTTGAAGAAATTCTTTGGGTTTGTTTTTCTGAATGGATTGACACAATGAGGGATTTGTAGTTTCAATAAGTTTAATATTAAAAATGACATATTCTTAGAAATAAACTTTAACACTCCCTTCCCCCCTTTTTTAAAGCATTAAGTTCAGAGCATTCCTCAAGGTCATTCTTTTTTTTTTTTTAAGGTCATTCTTAAATGCTATAATTGAAGCGAATACAAGCAGTCCCCGGGTTATGAATGCTCAAATTAGTTACGACCTAGAGTTGTGAAGCAACTCTATAAAATCTGCTATATTAAAAATTCAAGATATACATAGCAGTTCATAATTACCACCTGCCCCATAAACAGTACTGAATTATTATGTTAAAGCTGTTTTAGTGTATTCAGAAGTATGTTTTTATGTATAGAATGGTATACTGTATACTAACATTTGACTGATATTATATATGAACCATACCGAACTGTTGTGACTTAACAAATTCAGCTCAGAGACACTTACTGAACTTGTTCATAATCCGGGGACTGTGTGTACATTCAGCTACTGATCTCTATAGTATTGCGCAAGGACGTACTCATCAAAGATGAATGTGTGTGTCTTTTTCACGGGGCGGGCTGAGCCATGCTTCCCTGCCCTTAGAGCATAGCTTATACTGATTAACAGCAGCAATTGGAGATGGCTTTTTCCCAAGTGCATTCTGGCCACTCTTACCAGAAGTCAACTACCAAAATTTCCACAAATGAGAGATTTAATACATAATTGCAGTCACGTAAAGTCTGACAAGCAGGAATCTAGAATGAAGGGCGCTGTGCTGCCTTGAGGAGCCTAGATTAGATTGTAAAGGTGACGAGGTTTAAGAGGAGGGCTAGAAGGCAGTGGTTCTTCCCCCTCAGGTTCTACCCAGCCCTAGGAATTGAATTTAAGCCACTGCTGAAAATAACCTGCTTTGATAGGAAGTTCTCTGTGGCCTCAGAAACCTGTTCCGTTTCAGTCAGCTTCACTACTTGTAACTTTTTAAAAAACATCCTCTATGCTGATGGAGGCAGGAGGCCTTTGTTGCAGCCAAGGCATGCAGGCATCAGTGAATGGTTGTAGCCTGCCTTACCAAAGCTTTTACCAAATGCGGTACCAGATTATTGGAGCTTAGTGACTCATGAGTAGATGAGAAGCAGTCACAAAGGAAATAAATTTTTTAAATTTTACTTATCTACTTCAGTGTACTTTTTGTTCTCAGACTGAGTAAGAAACAGAAGAAAATTAGCTTAAAATCAGAAGGTCTTGCTCACAACTAAAGGGCAAATTCTTTTGCACCATCAACATTTTTTTTCTGTTATAAAACCATTGACACCTAATAGTAGGGCTTCCAAATTTGGAAGGCTTGATTTCTAACCCTTTCTCTGTGGGTAGCTCCTAAAAGAACTTTCCCTTAAGGGCCTCTTCTTTCAGAAGCCGGAGTTAGGTATCAGGTCTAGGTCAGCCCTCAGATGGGGGAGTCTTCCCTTCTGGGCTTCAGCTCTCCATACTCTAATAAAACAGGTAACATCCTTTAGGCTACATGAACAAATCTTAAAAATCCCTAACATCAGTATTAAAATAGAAACTACCCTCACAAATTTACAGAACTATGTTACAGTAGTAACTATTCTTGTCTGAAATGCATTAAGTTATATAAATTATCCCTAGCTGACCAGTTAGTTACATCGTAACAGGTAAGTCCAGTTGGATATTTGGGGCCTACCATTTACCATGTCCCTGAGTTGAGATGTTTGAACTTGTTCAGGAATCACAATGGCTGAACGAAGACAAGACTTATTCCACAGGGCAAAATCTCAACTGTAATCCTGGAGCCCAGGAGAGGCTTAATGAGCGCTGATAGAACTGTGAGGGTTCAACCTTCAATTTATATAAGTCTGTCAACACACATTCTATTAAACAAAAGACAAAAACTCAAATAACTAGCCTCTGCTGTTTTATGCCCAATTCCACAAGAATTTTACTACATATAATGGACATTTTTATGCAACTGGCAATGGGCCCAACTGTACAGGGCTAAGGTTTGTCCTATGCGCAGGAATTTAAAAGCCTGCGTGGGGGTGGGGGTGGGGGTGCGTGAGAGTGCACACTCACTGACAAGCTCTATTTAACTTTGTCGAAAAGCGGTTAAACTAGGGGTGGGGGAAAGACCAGCTAACAGTACCTTCCCATCATACCTCAAACGCACCAGTTTGGTGGGGAGGCAAAGAGTTGGAAGAGGTGCTCTGAATTTCTTGTAGAAGCTCCTAACTTGAGTGGTCTATTTAGAGTAAGCTGGATACTACAGCAAAATACTTGCCCTTGTTAATAAGTGCTGCTAGTTTCTGGTTGGCATTCTCAAGGCTGAGCCTTTAAAACTGCAAGTACTCTCGAGTCTGAGAAAGGCCACCGGAGCAGCTCTTGGCGACCACCTGCTAGGCCTGTGGGAAGACCCATGTGAAGTGGGACCCCACCCCCATCTGGGTGGAGGGAGAACTAGACACAATTTCTAGTTCAGACCTTTGGGTGCGAAACTCAGCCTCACAGTCTGTTGCTAAATGCTGGGCCCTGCAGTGGCCACTGGGGTACAGCCCTCACTTGTCTCAGGCCTGCATTAGCTCCCAGAAGATCTGAGAAGCTAAGCTTTTATGGGAAGGACAGACTCCAACCTGGCCTGGGCTCGTAAGTGGTAACAGTGGCACAAGAAGTAAGTTTCCCTAAAACAGTGCGCTTCAAGGTGGGTTGTGTGTAAATCTTGGTCTGTGGCCTAAAAAAAAGCAAAGAAGCCGAGTATTGTACTTACAATCTGCTGGCCACTGGGGGTGGTGGTGGCAGGGAATGAGGGGCTCCCTGGATAAACAGCCGATCCCTGGTCTGGGTATGTACAAGATGAGCCTGGAATGTTGCTAGGCCAGAAAAAGTAATGTTCAAAAATTAGTGAAGAAATGTCAAAAATGTGGAAATGAGACTAAGGGCACATCTAATGGTTAAAACTCAAGATCTTAGCACCAAAACAATCACTGGAAAAATTAGTTGTGAAGGAAAGGGAAGGCTTTTTCCCCAAGGTAGGTTATGAGGTGCCAGCTGTGAAAGTAATGGGAACTGGAAACCCATTTGCAACGATCATCATAAAAGAATGGCTTGGGCAGAGTGCATCGGTGGATGGTCCATCTAAAGTGAAATTCTGACAAGCAAAATAACTAACAGTCCAAAAGTATCTCTTCATACCTGCTTCATCTTTGGCAAGGGGGCAGAAATCGGAACACCCCTTGACAGCAGAATAGACTTTATCATCAGTAAGGACGAGATAAGTTATAAGGAGCCCCCAGATGTGATGTCTAGAGTGTAAGTCCTAGTGGCACTGTGTTTAAAATGGTTGGCTGCTAACTGAAAGATCAGTGTTTGAGTTCACCAGCTGCCTGATAGAAGGGAGCTGTAGCAGCCTGCATGTGTAAGTATTACAGCCTCCCAAGCCCTGAGCAAGTTCTTTGTCACACGGGGTCGCTGTGAGTTGGGTAACATGTAACAGTGGCAACCATGAGAAAGTACCAGCTTAAACTCAAAAAAGTTCTACTGAAAAAGGGATTGAGGGCAGGCTTCTACTCATTCCCCTTCCCCAAAGATTACAGAAACCCAATGGAGGGCTGCTAGGAATTAGAATTAAATGGAGACAGTGGGATTTGTGACAACTATGTGCCACATCTGAGCCTAAAATGATATCAGACCCCTCCTGTGCAAGGCATTACTGAGTCAACTGACAACTGGAAGATGGGTGTTAGGTTAAAATGCACCAGTGGTCTATTTACTGAATGAGTCCAAACTCAAGCTTACTGCTATAGGTCCACCCTGTAAGACAGCAGAACAGCCCCTGTGGGGCTTCCAACCCGAGAGTTTATAGATGCACACTATCACCTCACCCATGAAATACATGGCTGGTTTGAATTATCAACCTTTCTGTTAGCATTCAAGCACTAATAATGTGCTACCAGGGCTCCTTGGTTATGTAAGAGAATATTAATAAGCTGTGAAGTACCTGCATATAAAATTCTACAATATATGCAATTTACTCTCAAATACCTCAAAATGTTTTCTAGAGAGGGAGAATCCAACAAGTGGGTGGATCTGTTTATAGTTAATAGGTAAAAATAGGCAAATTGTATACAAGTGTTCTACCTGCAACCTTTCTGTGCACGTTCCTTTTTTTTCCTTGTAAAATACTTAAAAATATGTGTCTATTAGATTGCCAGTGATTGTCAGCTTTTACAGTAAGCTTAGCCCAATATGACATCAGCTGCTGGAGAAAATCTCTAATGATCCTGAAATCACTATATATCCAAGTGAAGTAATTTATAATGATCTGCCCTTGGTCTAACCTGTTGCCCTCAAGTAAATCCTGACTCCTAGGGACCCTACAGGGAGCTCTGGTGGCCAGGTGGTAAGAAACTGCGCTGCAATCCCAAAAGCATGCAGTTCAAATCCACTGGTTGCTCCATGGAAGAAGGATGTGCAGTCTCCTATGTCATTTACTGCCTCTGAAAATCCATCAGAGAGTCAGCTATGGTTTCTGACTCTAGGTACAGAACAACAGTAACTTTATAAGGACCATAATTCCCCAATGGTAAGAAGCAAACACATTTTCTTCTGTGGAATGACTGAGTTAGCATTTGAGTGCTCACATCAACCAATACCCTAGTGAAAAAAAAACAAAACAGTAAAAGCGACTTGTAATTGGAATGTAACTGGGAGAGCAATGTGGAATCCTCCTGTTTTATATCAGTTCTGTACAAAGAGGGCAAGACAGATGCTTCATTTTTTATTTCCCCTCCCACCCTTCCCTTCGTGATGGTTGTATCCATTTGAGCATTTCTGAGCACATGACCAGAAGTAAATCTTTAAACAGGAGTGGAATTCTTGTCTAAACAGTAACAGAAGGGGATTAGCTGCAAAGATAGCATAACTGTTGTGCAGTAGTAGAAGCTGCCCAGATCCTCTTGGTGGACAATGCATAGAAGACTTAAAAGGATGGAACATCTGTCCCCCCAACCCCTCTTCCCACCCCCTGCCCCAAATCCCACCTCCCACCCCCCATTAATAGTGTTAACAAAAGCTTAATCATCCAGTTTTAAAGTGCAAATGATTTGGGTATGACTGCTGTTGCAACAGGTCTGAACAGAAATAAATGAAGTCCTCTCTGTCTATGCGATGTTTTCCAGGATATAAAAGATGAGTTCCATGACAACAGGGCCCTCGCTGAGCTGGCAGGCCCCTCCATGGATCACCGGCACCAAGGCGCTGTCTAGATCATTCATGTACTGTGATGGCAGAGGCTGTCCGTTGCTCCCTGCTTGATAGCCAACCTGTAACACAGCAAGGGAGAAGGGTGTGGCAGGTTACTAGGCAGAGATTTCTCCAGAAGGCTGGGGCCATGAAAGTAGAGCAGGAAAGGTGAGGTCCTTAAGGGACACATGCCAGACATGGCAGTGGGCACAGATTCCACCCTTCCCTGCACTGCTATCACTTGTTTATCCTGCCTCTGCCACCTGGTACCTGTGAGACCTCGTGCAAGTAACTTAGGCTGTTAAGGTCTTAGTTTCTGAGGGAGGTGCATAAAGGGGTACAGGGTCAGAAATGGTTAAACTTTTGTTATAAAAAATGAGATCCATCAACAAATGAATGGATTGAGAAATTTTAGTACCTTCACACAAGGGAATATTATGTAGCACTAAGTTATACAGGTGTCCAGGACTTTCATTCATAGGGTCTCTATGAGTCGCCTATGACTCAGCGGCACTTAACACCACCACCACCACCACCAACAGCATAGAGAGAGAGCAGTTGGCCTAGCAGACAGAAAGCCATGCTCCCAAGTCAAAGGTGGGTGACTCTACTCTGCAGCCCTCAGGCCTGACTTTGTTTTTAGTGAAACATTCTTCTAGGTCATGTAACCCTGGTATGTCCACTTGCTGTACAGAAGGAACTCGTGGTCACTGTGAAGCTGAACACTGTGACACTGATGAGTCAAAAGCAAGAATGGTTACCCATGGTGGACAGTGTTTGGTGGAGCTCCCCGATTAAAACAAGCTTGGAAGCAGAGTGTCATCCACTGCCACAACAGCTTGCCTCTGGAAACCCTATGAACCTGGAGAAAGTTATACAGGTGTCCAGGACTTTCGTTCATTCATAGGGTCACTATGAGTTGCCTATGAATTGATGGCACTTAACAACAATAATAATATAACATGGGAGGATCTAGAGAGCATTATACCAGTGAACTCAGTCTCATAAGGAAAAATAGTGCATAAGGCCATTATCATCATAATAGAAGAACTGGTAAAATGTGTATAAATGTCCAAAAGGGAAAGGGAAAAGTTAAAGGAGTGGAAAATGGGGAAAGGGGAAATCACTAGGACAGGAGAGTTTAGGGGACAGTTTGGAGAATGATGGTGAAAGAATAAGAGAGACTCAAATGTGGACTAGAGAAAAAGTGGAGTAATAATACACAGAGATCAATAGTAATTTTTAAAATACAATGTATATGAATATTATGAAACAAAATGTAAAGGAACGATTGTATAAAATACAATGTACATGGGGGGGAAAAAGAAAAATAAATGAGAAACACGATGTATGTACAATTTCCTGCTGTAGCAGGAAATAAACATTTGTTTGTCCACTCATTTATGTCTGACCATCTGCAAATACAGGGATCCAACGACAAATGAAACAGGACTCTGGCCCATGAGGGGCTCATGTATTTATTTCTTCTTTAGTTATTTTACGTAAGATAACAGCCAGATAAGGGAGCGCTGGTGGCTTAGTCTAAAGAAACTGTACTGAAATCCCGAAGGAGATGCTCTGCTGGAGAAGGAGGGGCAATCTCCTCCTGCGCCCATCGGATCTAATTCCAATGGTACACAGCAAGGAAAAAAAAAAGGAAAAAGACAACAGCCAGATCACGTACTGGTCCCACTGAAGCAAAGACTGTGATGCTTCACTTACCATACCTAGACATGCTCACTATATGAGTAGAAAATAGATACTTGTGGATCAATGATTAGTCAGGAAATAGTCAAATAGAGAACTTTTCACCATTTTCCATGATAACGGCAGGATTGTAAGAAGGAAGTAGTTTCTTCCCCAAAATGAGAACATTTTAGGATGTAATCTTAGGATTACTGGTGATCAAACTGGGAGTCCACACCCATATTCTAAGTGATTGAAAACAAAGGCTGATGGAAGGGGAGGAATGAGTCTGCTAATTAGTAAGCATCACAGGAGGACCCTGGGACATGCCACCAGTAAGACCTCCAAACAAAACCCCAAACCCACTGCTGTCAAATTGATTTTGACTCACATGACAGACTGAGTAGAAAGGTCACCGTGGGGTTTCCCAGCAAACCCAGGGAAGCAGACTGCTGCACCTTTCCCCTTACAAGTGGGTTGGTGGGTTCAAACCAGTGACTTTTCAGTTAGCAGCCAGATGCTTTACTGTGCTACTAAGACTCCTGGGAACATGCATGCAGGCATCCAAAACCAGAAATGTATAGAGATCTGAGTGCACTGGAGTGCTAGGTCACAGGAGACAGCTATTAGAAAGGGTATTCGAAAGGGCGGTGGGTGCCTGAAAGTCAACTTCTATTCACTAGCTAGCACAATGCTGAAGTTAAAAAAAAACCCAAACAAGCAAACAAAAAAACTACCACCACACTACAAAAACCTTAGAGAATTAACTAGAATTAATCATATATTAAAAACTACAGAATAATAAACAACTTGCTCTCTGAGGAAACAGAATGACGACTCCTTGGTGGGATTAGTGTAGATGTCAGTGACACAGTGGTGGCAGTTCCTCACAAACAATCCCCTTCCTGATACCACATTAAGAATAAAACCAGCTCCTTGTAAAATAGTCAGCTGATGAAATCAAGGTTTGAAGAGGTCACAGAATCAAGAGTGATTACGATTAGCAGGCAGGTCAGAATACTGCATCTGGTCAGGCCAGGTTAGAAGTAATCTCTTAAGGCAGATAAAGGAAAACTCACACCAGAAAGTACAGACATTGCCCAAGACAAGCTTCAGAAGCCTGAGACTCTTCTTACCTGGTCTGAGTCAAGTGTCACACGCAGCCCCAGCTTAGTCATGCCATCTTCCTTCAGAAGTTTCAGGTGAGGGCAGAGAGCGAGGCAGAAAGCCTTGGCAACGTGTTCAGTCAGTCTGCTGTGATCTGCAGGATCGCTCAGGCAATTGTGCTGGTCATCATTTTCTAGGAAAAACACCTGTTGCCAAAAAAAGAAAAAAAAAAAAAGACGAAACCAGGGGATTAACTTGCAATGGATCAGCATCATGATTCCCGAAGATATGGAAAAACCTGTAGTGGGTGCAGGACACTGTAAAATGCAGGAAAATCCGGATGCCAGTATCTTTCTTACTTCTAAGAAACAGTCTCTAGATCTACAAAATGGGGAGAGCACCTGACTAACCTCCTGAAAGCCTTGGTCATGATTATAATGGTATATTCTACTCAGGGTAGACATAAGCAGTATCTTACACTGCTCTTCTAAAAAGCAATTTCTGTATGTGCATAATTTTTTAGGGAAGGATCTTAGAATCTAAGAGAAAGACTTTTACATTGCATATCTAACACCTTCATCTTCTAGGAGACTTGTAAAAAGGAAGGGACTTGCTGAAGTGCACACAACTACTTAGAAGCAGGGCTAAGTGTGGCATCTAAGTCTTGTATTTAAAACAGAGCTCTGCACAGCATCCCTCTCACTGCAGAGCCCAGAGCTGGGCCAGGTTCTCTGTAAAGATCCAAGCACCTGACTGCACTGGCAGAGCCACCGCAAAGCAGGAAGTGAGAGCTGAGTCTTGGGCACATAGAGCAGAGGCTGTGAGCAGGTCCTCTGACTCCTCATTGTCCTCCCTAGTTATTATAATAAATAAACTAAAGTAAAATAGAGATGACAGATGAAAATGCACAATAGTTAAATATACCAATCTGGCTTATTGCTCCATAAAAGGCAAGTCTGAATGCTGGTACCTAGTGACAGTGCTGAGAGTGGCAGGATGAAATGACAAGAGCTTGGCAGGAGGAGTCGGGAGACCACCTCAACCTTCCAACTCTATCAGCAAACCATAAAGTTATATGATCGCTCTGAGCCTGTTTTCTCATTTGCATAATGGGAGCCTGCCAAACTCACTGGGTTATTGTGAAGCAGAAATGAGGGAAGAGAGAAAAAGCTGCTTTGTAGGCTGAAGAGTTTTCTCTATAAAGACAGCACAGAGGAAAAAGAATTTTACTCTATGCAGAACTCAAAACATATCCAAAGGATGGTCATAACAAAGCAAGCCATTAAAATCACACAAGTGCAAATGAAAACATTAAACATGGTTTAAAGGATGAGTCACTTGGAATTACTGAACTGGAGAAGTGGGTTCTACCACCTGGGCTGTCAGGGACAGCTGGGTCAGTGCTGGTGGGCCAGTTACCTTCTGGCTTCAGCTCCCTTGTTACTCAAATGGAAAAGCCAACAGTCAAAGCATTTTGAAAAATTTAAGACTTATAGTTAAAAGGAATCTTAGAAATCTTGTATTTTGACCTTTTATGTCCTAGATAAGCATAAATGAGTTTCAAAAGAAATTAGACACTTAAGATATACCTGTGAATATATATGACTCCTGCTATAAGCCAATCTTACAGAATAGATTTCTGGTAAATACATGCACATCCCTGTCATTCTCAGGTGACATACTAAGATAGCTTCCCATTCTTTGTTAGAAATAGCTGTCAAGTTAAGGAAAAATTTAATACAATGAAAAAGAACTTTGAAGTTTTGTCAGGCCAGGGTTTAAATGTACACTTGCCTTGTAATCTCAGATAAATTAGTTTCTAAACTTTGTTTTGGCATATCCTTGCTGAACTCCAATGCAAAAAAGATTTCTACAAGCTTGTCCACAGAACAAGGATATATCAGACAGCCACAGGTTTTTTGGAGGCTGGGTTGTATAAGGAGGAATATGGCATCAGGATTGGAGGAAGAGGCATCAACAACCTATGTAATGCAGATGATACAAGCCTACCTGATGAAACTGAGAGGATCTGAAGTGCTTGCTACAGAAGGTCAAGGACTGCAGACTTCAATATGGATTGAAGCTCAACATCAAGAAGACAAAGATTCTCACCACTGGGCACCATGACATATTGAGGTTATTAATAATTTCAGCTTGCTCAGTTCCACAATAAAAACTCAGCAACAGTAGTCAAGAAATAAAAAAACGAATTGCATTGGGGAAAATCTGCTATCAGGGACTTTTTCAGAGTACTGAGAAACAATGATGTCAGTCTAGATTAAGATGTGCCTGATCCAGCCCAAGGTCTTCGCAATTATGCACTATGCATCAGAGAGCTGGACAATGACTAAGGATGATATGACAGAAGAAGAATTGATTCCTTGAGTTGTGGTGCTGGAGAAGTCTTGAATGGACCACCAAGAAAACACATAGGTCTGTACTGGAGAGGGTGAAACCAAGTTTCTCCAAGAAAATACATAGGTCTGTATTAGAGAAGGTGAAACCAAGTTTCTCCTTGAAGGCTAGGATTTTGAAGCTCCGTCTCACATACTTTGGGCACATGGCCAGGAGAGACTGAGCCTTGGAGAAGGACATAATGCTTGGAAGGGTGGAGGGACAGTGCAGGAGAGGAAGACCCCAAATGAGATGGACTGATACAATCATTGGGGCTACAGGGGTTGGTGTGTCAGAATTAGTGAGACTGGCTCAGGACAGGGCAGGGTTCAGAGCTGTTGCACATAGGGTCGCTGTGAGTTGCAGGTGACTCAACAGAACATAACAGGCTGGCTGTCTGAATGGCATTTTGTCCTTGAGAGAACTAGAGAACAGAAGGTAAAAAGATTTACTGTTATCTTACCAAAATCTGCCCAAGATAAAAACCATGACCAAGCAAAAATTGTGTTAAAAGTGGGTCAAGGATGCCAGGTTTAATTTCCTTACCTCCGTCCATCTGATGACTTTACCATTTGCTTTGTACTCTGATCCATGGAATATCTTCACACTTATTATAGACTCCATGGACTTTCCATCTATAGGACTTACAACCCTAAAATGCAAACAGAGGAAAAAGACATTTGAGAGCCATCAAGTTTGCGGAAAATTCCAGGAATAATTAATAACATGGGGTGTAAACAAGCCACAGGAGAAATTAATGTGTTTGTAATATAGTCAATGGAGACTCACGGACACTTAGGAATTTAAGAAAGATTTGCTGACTAAAAGAATAATTTGATCAAGTTTGTTAATTATGATAGTGTTAGTGTAGATGGATGAACATGTATCTATCACAATGAATTTCCTACACTGCTAAATTATCAATCTTAGAAATTTACCAGAAAGTCCACTTAAAAAAAAAAAAAAGGGTGTTTCTAGAATAAACCTCACTACCAGCAAAGAGCTCTGTTGCCAAAGGTGGGTGATTTTACTCTGCAGCCCTCAGGCCTGGTCTTAACTGGTTTTTGGTCAAACATTCTTCTAAGTGGCATAGTTACTAGTCTTGTCAATTTGCTGTACAGAAGTAACTCGTGGTTGCTGTGATGCCAAACACTGTGACACTGATGTGTCAAATGTGATAATGGTCACCCATGGTGAACAATGTTTGGTGGAGCTCCCAGATTAAAACAGGCTTGGAAGTAGGAGTGGAATCCACTTCCAAAATAGCTTGCCTCTGGAAACCCTATGAACTTGGAGAAACGATGAAAGTTCTACAAGTGTTCATTCAGGTCTTTTGTTCATGGGGTCGCTGAGTCGTCTATGACTCGACGGCACTTAACAACCACCATCAGCAAAGCAGCAGCAAGAGAATGTAGTGTGTCCTTTGGGGCCAGAGATTCTTGCACCAGCTAGACTAGGGCCTATGGGAGCAGCAGGTATAACAGCCATATCAGAGAATCAGAGACCTGAAGCGAGATGAAGCAGACTGTTACCTAATGGAACCCTAAGTAGAATCCTTTGCTCATGTTTGTTGGGCAACTGGAGGGGGTCTGTGGGGAGAGCCATACTTAATAGGACTGAGAACTTTGTAACACTGGCCTAAAGTGATGAGGCTCAAGACTCAGGTGCCTGGGAGCACATTTCAGAAGTTATCCTGACTGTATTCTGCTAGTAATCTGGATTATAGCCTTTTGACTTTCCCCCTTCCCCTGAAAAAAAAAAAAATGGGTGTTTCTTCCTTAAATGATGAAAGTATAAATAGGTGGCTATGTTATTCCTTGGAGAAGGACATGATGCTGGGAAGGGTGGAGGGTCAGTGAAGGAGAGGAAGATCCTCAAGCAGGTGGATTCAGATGGTGACTGCTGCAATGGGCTCTTGTGTGTCAGGAAGTGTGAGGATGGTGCAGGGTTAATAAATGGCACCTAACAACAAAAACATACACATCAATAATTGTTCTGATTAGAATTCAAAATGCACAAAGATTCTAGACTTTCCCCAACAATACTCAAAGTATTTTTATTTCTTAGGATTTAAAGGTCAAACTGAACTGAAACTTCAATAGCAGGTATTCACTAAATTCTTTCAAAATAAAATTATTTCAGCAGTCTAGATTTAATTCCTAACTCATCAGAAAGCAGTATCAAAAAGGGTCTCTTTAAGGGAGGAAGAGCAGACACTGAGGGACAAACTGGGAAATACTAAATTCATACACTAAAAACTACTAAGGAGTTCAAGAATCTTCTCTGCCAATCTTCTCCCAGTTTTTTAAAATACTGTCTCTGACACTTGCTATGATTATTGTTGTTAGGTGCCACTGAGTCAAGTACAACTCACAGCAACTCTATGAACAACAGGTCTGAACCCTGTCCTATCCTGTGCCACCCTCAACATTTCTGACATACTCAAGTCTATTGCTACAGTCACTGTCAATACATCTCATTGAGGGATTGAGGGTCTTCCTCTCCTTTGCTGATCCTACACTTCCCAAACAAAGGAATTTCCAAGGAATGGCCCCTCCTAAAAGTACGTCCAAGTATGTTAGCTGAAGCTTTGCCATCCTTGCCCGCCAGGAGCACTCCAGTTGCACTTTCTCCAAGACACATCTCTTTGTTCTTTTTGCAGTCCATGGGATATTCAGGATTCTTCTCCAACATCACTACACAAAGGCACTAATTCTTTTTTGTCATCTTCAGTCATCGTATAGTTCTCAGATGCATAACAAATGACTGAAAAAAATAGGGCCGAAATAAAGTGCACCACAGTCTTTAAACTGACATCATTGTTCCTTAGTATCTTGGTGAGGTCCTATATGGCAGACTTGCCCAATATAATACATATGTCACCATCTCATGACTACTGGTACCAGTTAAGATTGTGGATCCAGTTTAGATGAAATTGTTGACAATTTCCATATTTCCCTATCTATCATGATGCTGCCTATTGGCCCAGTAGTGAGAGTTTTTATCTTCTTGATATTTAGATGTAATTCTTAGTGAAGTTTATATAGTCTTTGGTCTTTTGCAGCAAGCATTTCAAGTCCTCCTTACTTTCAGCAAGCAAAATTATGTCATTCACATGATACAGGTTGTTGATGGGTCGGTCATCCTCTGACCCTGATTCTTCTTCATTAAGTCTTGAATAATTTCCTCAGCATACAGACTGAAGAGGTATGAGATAGAATATAGCACTAACCCACACTTTTCTTGATTTAAAACCATGCATTCCTCCTCTGTTCTGTTCAGACAACAGCTTCTTGGTCTACGTACAAGTTGTGCAGGAGCATAATTAAATGTTCGGGGATTCTCATTCTTCTCAATGTTAGCTACAGTTTGTTACGGTCCACACCAAAATGCCTTTGCATAGTTACTAAAGCACAAATAGACATTCTTCTGGTATTCTCTACTTTTACCTAGAATCTGTCTTATATCAGCACTGATATTCCTGGTGCCACTGCCTCTTCTAAATCCAGCTTGAACATCTGGCAGTTCTCTCTCAATGTACTGTTTTAACATTTTTTTTTATGATCTACAGCAGTATTTTGCTTGCATGTGGTATGATATTGTTCAATAATCTCCACATTCTGTGGGGTCACTTTTTTGGGGAACAAATAGGGACCTCTTTTAGTCAGTTGTTTAAGCAGTTGCCCTCCAAAATTCCTGGTGTAGACAGGGGAGCACATTCAGGGCTGCATCTATCATCTGAACCCTGTCAACTGGTCTCCTATCAATTCCTGAAACCTTACTTTTTGCCAATGTCTTCAGTGCAACTTGAACTTCCTCCTTCATTACCATTGGCAATTGTTCATATGGTACTTCCTGAAATACTGCTGTGTTAACCAATTCTTTTTGGTATGTTGTTGTTGATTGTTGTTGTGTTGAGCACGACTCCTAGAGACCCTATGAACAAAAGGCCTAAAGACTTTCTATAACTATCGATATATATTTATCAACGTTCACAGAGCTTCCAGAGGCATGTTGTTTAGGAAGTGTGACTCTGTATTTCCTCCATCTTCTTTTGATGCTTCCTGGGTCATTCACAATTTAGCCCAAAGCATCTCTCAGTATTGCAACTAGAGGCTTAAATACACTTTCCAGGTCTTCCAGCTGGAGAAATGTTGAGTGAGTTCTTCCCTTTTTATTTTCTAGCTCCGGTCATTTGCATATTTCATAATATTTTGGTTTGTCTTCTCAAGCTGCGCTTGGAAATCTTCTGTCCATTTCTCTTACATCACCATTTCTTGATGATCTAGTGCAATTTTCAGAGTCTCTTATGTCATCCATTTTGGTCTTTTCTTCCTCCTTTGTCTGAGTAACCACCTTTAGCTCTCCTCATGGTGTGGTGATTGTTAGGTGCTGTCAAGCTGAGTACAACTCATAGTGACCCTACAGGCAACAGATCTGAACCCTGTCTTATCCTGTGCCATCCTCACCGTCTCTGACACAACTTATGTCCACTGTTGCAGTCACTGTGCCAACCCATCTCACTGAGGGTCTTATTATTTTGCTGAGCCTCCATCTTTCCAAGCATTATGCCCCTTTCTAAGGAATAACCTCTCTGAGCAATAAGCCCAAGATAGGTGAAATACAGTTTCACCATCCTTGCCTCCATGAAGCACCCTGGCTACATGTTCCCAAGAAATATCTGTTTGGTGTTTTTATAATGCATGGGATGCTCAGTACTCTTCTTCAACACCACAACTTAAAGGCATCAGTTCTTCTTCTGTCATCTTTATTCATTGTTCAGCTCTCAGCAGCAGAGAAAATGATGGAAAAAACCATGGCCTGAATCAGGTGCACCTTACCCCTCAAACTGACATTATTGCTCCTCAGTATTTAGAGAGATCCTGGACAATGAATTTACCCAAGTGCATTATGTCTCTTGATCTTCTGAATGCTGGTACTAAGGGTGATGACTGTGGATTTAAGTAAGGTTGTTTATTTCTTTAATTAACTGCTGACAATATCAACCTTTTCTGCATGTGACATGATGTTGTCTCTCAGACCAGTGGTGATGACTTTTGTCTTCCTGATGTTGAGATGCAATTCATATTGAAGGCTATCTTTGATCTTCTGCAGTGTTTCAAGTCCTTCTCATTTTCAGCAAGCAAAGTGTTGTCATCTGCATAGAACATGCTATTGATGAGTCTTCCTCCAGTTCTAATGCCAGATTCTTCATCACAGAATCTAGCTTCATCAATGATTTGCTCAGCATAGAAACGGAATAGATATGAAGAGGGATTTAACCTGACATATACCTTTCCTGATTTTAAACCATGCAGTGTTCTTTTGTTCTGCTCAGACAACAGCTTCTTGGTCTAGGTAAAGGTTTCACATGAGCACAACTGTTCTGGGATGGGGGCAGTAGAGGTAGTGTAATTGTGGATATATTTTGAAGTATGTGTACTGTGAAGTTGGAATCAACTCACAGTTGATCCTCTAGTGCATTTTTAGAGGAGAAAGCCCATCTTTCTCCTGTGGAGCAGCTGGTGGATTTGAGTGGCTTCCCTTTGGGTTAGCAGCATAACTCCTAGCCACTAGAACTCCCTTCCTGAAGTTTATAAAAAAGAATTTACTGTCAGAGGAATTGTAGGATGCAAAAGAAAGAAACATGTCAAAGGTGACTCCAAGGTTTTGGCATGATTATTAGAACAAAGTTGTTTTATACAAGAAGACAATATAGGATTTGAAGCCCAAATAGATAGTATTGAATTATAGTCCCACATTTCCAAACTCTGTGGATCTGACAAGGTATTTAGTCCTTAGGTTCATATAGACTCATCTGAGTAATTTGCCCAGGGATAAAGCTCAAAAGGTATGAAAAGAGAGGAAAGAGGATGAATGGAAAAGGGGAACACAAGGAGGTGGATAGAAACACACTATTGTAACATGGAGAGAAAAGAGAAGAAAGAGGATGAATGGAAAAGGGGAACACAAGGAGGTGGATAGAAACACACTATTGTAACATGGAGACTGTTAACAAGTATCATAAAATAAAGCAAAATTCATTATGAATGTTTGAACGAACCCAATTTACTCTGTAAACTGTCAATGAAATAATAATTATTAAGATAAAAAATTACCAAAAAATCCAACACAAAACCTCTTCAGGGAAAAGAAAAAAAAATTTCCAAAATAATTTTTTAATTCAAGCCTGGATGACAAAAATAAACAAAAAGAAAATTATTAGAATGATAACTTCATCTTTCTATGAAGAGTATTGATCAAAGCCAAATCCTTATTAATATCTTATACTCAGATATGAAAATCTTCAAAGCAATCCTCATTAATTCCATAATAATGTTTCTTATATTTTCTCCACAACTGTGCATTTTAAAAAAAATCCTTGGAGAAAAATGTTAAGTATTCCTTTTAACATAATAACAATCAATCATACCCCCAGCCCTCTGTTGTAAGTCCAGTTATAATTTCTAAGTGGGGCAGATCAATCCCTTGAAAGTGTTTTTTCCTGCTTTCACTGTTTGCTTAATTGCTGTACCAACAATGTTAAAATTTAATTAAAAGAATTTTTTACATAAAAAAAAGTGTCTTCTTGTAAAGGTACAAAAAGGTTTTTATATTTTATACTACTTTATCTCACTAACAGTTTACATTTATATTACTATTATTTTCAGTAACAGATCTTTAGAGAGTCAGTTTTATTCCAGCAAACTCTCTTCTATCTTCTCATGAAAAATAGTACAGAAACTCCTTTAGAAACGAAGCTTTAAAAAAACCCCAAATTTTAAAATATGTCTGATATGCATATAGAAGTTGTTTTTCTTGACTAGGCCTTTCAGTAAAGGTGTAAGACACCAGTGCAGGCTGTAGACACAACCCACAGGCAGTCCTGAATAACTAAAAATGTCAAAGAGGATTTGTGGGCTGCATTTACCCCTTGTTGACGTTCTTGTCATCATCCACCCACTGGATGTGGATGTGCTCTTGGGGGTCCTCCGCGTCGGCCTTCCCACAGGTGATGCTGAAGTCCTTCATCTCTCTAAGCGCCTGCCTCAAGGAATCCATGTTCTCAGCAGTGATTTGGACCATCACGCCATCTGACAATTAGCACCAAGGTAAATAAAGTAGATGGAAACAATGCAAAATCAGGGAGAGAAAAGACAGATGAAAGATAGTACCTGGCACCTGCTAAATCCCTCTGAGATTAAATGCAAAACTTCCTATTACTCTCTAAAGCTGGCAGGTACAAAGAAGCTTTGTTCTTTCTGAGTTGAACCCATTACTCATTGAAACACCCGTGGAATTCAATCTAAAAACAACCAAGAATCTCCTGGCACTACTCAATGGGAAAATTCAGACGTGGTACACTTGGTCATAACCCTCTTTGGGACACTCAGAGCATTTTGCTCCTATTTCTACTCTTGTGTTTATCATACTTTGACCATACTTCTTTGTTCAGATTTTCTTTTTCTCTCTTGCCACGTACTATGATTACCTGGCAGAGTCTATGTTCAGCAGATGTGAACTCAATCACTGGGAAAACTACAGTGGTGGGCTTGGGAGTAAATCAATTTACTGACTATAAGTAAACTGAACCTATCACATCTGTTTCACATAGATAATAGATGAAGCTGTTTCAACTTGGTCAAAGGCAAACACCGAAAATGAAAGTGAAAATTGTCACATGTTGGGCAATTCTCCTGTTTCACTGACACAAGATTTTTGTCATCTGAACCATTTTCAACCAGATGTCAGTGAAAATTTCAAAACCAGGCAGCCAAAGGCTCTACTGGCACACAGTAAAATTAAAGATCTAAGAAATACAAAGCCCAGAGACACACATACATACTTTTCAACAGTGCTTTTTCTTTTTAAGCACCTTTGACAGTTCAATTGAACATTTCAACAACATTTAACAGGGTGTTTTAAAAAAATCATGTATATGGGAGCTCTGGTGGCCTAGTGGCAAGAAGCTGCACTGCAATCCCAGAGGCGCACGGTTCAAATCCACCAGATGCTCTGCTGGGAAACGAAGGACAATCTCCTCCTGTACTAGTCAGATCTGATTTGACGGTACACACACACGAAATAATAATAAAAAAAAATCATGTAAATACACAATTTCAAGTGTACTCAATACAAGGTCATATATGCTTTAACTAGTTGCTGTAGATGAAATGTGCAACTCTGAGACGTTCCCAAAAATTTCTTAGGCTGATTCTGCTTTGTAGTCAGAGTTGTGAGATTTAGTTGTGAAAAGCACTTTGCTTTTCATACATTGTTAACTATATAAGGTTATTGACAAAGCAGATAAAAGTTAGTATATATTATGTAGTTTAACAGTTTCTATACATTTTCATTTACATACAAGAGTCCAGGCCTCAGAAAAGAATGTTTTTAAATAGGACCTTGAAAATGAACTATTGTTTAAATGAAAATTTGTGATTGTGTTTTCTAAAGATGGCCACAGTATCTCTTATTTTATGTGCTTTTCTACAAATATACCTTACCATTTCTCTATCAAGAAGTGAAGTCTAATTCCCTTACTCCTGAATTAAGGCTTGTTGTTGTTATGTGCCGTTGAGTCGTTTACGACTCATAGCGACCCTATGCACAACAGCCCTAAACCCTGCTCTATCTTGCGCCAACCGCACTGCCTCTGACACACCCATCCCGATTACCCCAGTCACTGAATCAATCCATCTCATAGAGGGTCTTCCCCTCCTGCGCT